CGATCCCCAGGGGCTGGGCTGTGTGCGTGGGAGAGCAGCTCCAGGACAGACAGACAGACAGCGGGCTGGGGGAGGGACAGGCAGGAACACACAGCCCCAGCACAGGCTCCCACCTTTGGCTCCCCTGAACATCAGGGCCAGCGAGATGCTGCCCCGACCATCTCAGAGTCTGGCATCAACACACACAGAGTCCCAGAGTCACCTTGATTGGAAAAGCCCTTGAAGCTCATGGAGTCCAACCATGAACCCAACACTGACCAGTCCCCTATGACTAACCCATGTCCCTCAGCACTGTGTCTACACGACTCTTCAATCCCTCCAGGGATGGGGACTCCACCACTGCCCTGGGCAACCCCTTCCAATGCCTCAGAACCCTTGCAGCAAAGAAATTCTTCCTCACATCCCATCTCAACTGCCCTGGCCACAACTGGAGCCCATTTCCTCTTGGCCTGTCCCTTGGGCCTTGGTTGAACAGACCCACCCCCACCTCTCTCCACCCTCCTCCAAGGGACTTGCACAGAGACACAAGGTCTCCCCTCAGCCTCCTTTTCTCCAGGCTCAACACCCCCAGTTCCCTCAGCCACAAGGGAACTCAGCACACTTGTGCTCCAGACCCATCACCACAGCCCAGAAAGCTGCTCCATGGCTGCAGATGTGGATACAGCCCTTGGAGCATTTGCAACACTCCCAGCAGAAGCGATCAGACAAGGCAGACATCTGCCACATCCCGCTGGCCTCGTGAGCGCAGCCACAGCAGCGAGTGCTGCCAAGGACCAGCTCAGCTGGCACAGCAGGGAGGCCGGGAGAGCTGCCCGGGCAAAGCCTGTCCCAGAGCAGCTCTGGGGACGCTCTCGCTCGCAGAGGAAGTGTCCTCATGAGCCTCAGCTCGATGGTGCCTGCGAGTTACAGGTGCAAAAGTCAGATCCCAGCCCACGTGGATGCCGAGTGGGTGGCAAGACACCTCTACCCTCACACGGAGAAGATCCGTGGAGGCACAGCTGGTGTCCTCCTCCCCAGCTGGAAGGACTTGTGTGAGGATGGCAGAAGGGGCAGAGTCTGAGACCACCCAGCATCTATCTCCTCAGCAACCGCTGCTGCTGGGAGAAGGAGGCCACGCAGCCCTGCAGGGTCCCTAGAAAAGTGCTTTATTTGAGTACAGAGGGGAACGGTTGCACGAGCCGACCCAAGCACCGGGCCAGGCCTCTCTGCCTGGCCCCTTCCAGCCTCTCAGCGGCTTCAGTCTCTCCCTGACCAGCACACAGACACGGCTCAGTCCTGTGTCCTCAGCTCTGGGCCAGCACTGCCAGCCAGCGCCCGCAGCAGCCTGCAGAACAGCACCGCTACTCTGTGACCTCGGGGACGACGCTGACCAGCAAAGTGTCGTAGCCACGTCGCACCAGCAAGGCCAGGTTCTGCTGCGTCCGTACCGCCTCGTACACGTCCTCCGCACGGCGTGATGCCTGCCCGTTGATCTCCAGCACCACGTCGCCTGCCTTCAGCCCTGCCCTGTGAGGAGAACGACGACAGGAACGCACAGCGGGCGAAGCAGACACTCAGCTCCGTCTTCCCAGAAGGAAGGGGAGCCAGGCACTACGGGAGGCTCAGGCTGCTGCGCCAGGTGCTCCTCCAGCCACACAGGTACCTTGGCCGACAGGACACCAAGCCTGGGCAAGGGTCACCAGTCAGTTTCTGCTGCAGACTGACGGCTGCAGAGCCCAAGCCCTGCTGCTCTGGAGCTAAACACTCAGAGCTAAAGACATCCCACCCTGTGTAGTTGCCCTCTCATGCCACCCCCCAAGGCACAGGGCAGCACTTACTGATGGGCCGGGGAGCCGATGATCACCTTGTGGATTAGCACTCCGTAGGAGACATCGGGGAAGCTGGGGTCACGCAGCTTCAGCTCAGCCAGGATGCTGCAGAGTGAAAAATCAGCATCATGGTGAGGAGCTGGGAGGCAGAGCAGGGCTCCCTCTCCACCATGGCTGCCCAGGCTTGGAGACCACAGCGCAGAACCTCTCCTCCTGCATCCCTGCACGCTGCCAAGCCCAAGCAACCAGGTGCAAACCCCAAGGGTACCCACACACCACCATCTTCCTGTCAAAAACTAGAGGACAAAAGTCCTAACTGTGCCAGGGACAGCTGGAAACTACCACAGCAGCTGCCAGCTGGGTCACAGTTCCAGGTGATGCACATCACCTGTCTGAGCAGCCCCACCTCAGACTGCCCCTCCCGGTACCAGATCTGCTGCAGTTTCACTTCTCTGCTTTCACTTGTAGGACACAGAACAAAAGCTGTGCCCCCACTTATTGCCAGATGTGTCAAGCAGAGGCACACACACCTCTCCTCCAGAGTCTATCACCTAAACAATCCCAGTTCCTCCAATCTTCCTGCAGCTTAGGATTTCTAAACCTCACTTAAATTCTGCACCTCCCACCGCTCCTCTTTGGACTCTCTCCAACTGCTCCCCACCACTCCTGAAAGTGTCCAGAACTGGACACAGTGCTCCAGCTGGATCTCATCAGAACATAGCAACCGTGCATCCTGTAACACCATCTGTCCCTCCAACACTGTGCATCAGCTCTGGCCCACTGCAGCTCCAGAAATTCTCACTCTCTCTGCCCAGCTCCTTGCTGCTTATCAGGTACCTGTTCAGTCACTTATGGGTCCCCACTTCCCACTGGTCCTTGCTGAACTCCATTGTACTTTTTCACAGACCTTTCCAAACTGGCATCCCTTCTTGATTTCACAGGATCACAGCACGGTTGAGGTTGGAAGGGACCTCTTGAGACCATCTAGCCCAATCCCCTCTGCTCAAGCAGGCTCCCTCACAGCAGGTTGCTCAGGACTGTGTCCAGTCAGGCGTTGAGTATCTCCAAGGCTGGAGACTTTCCGGCCTCTCCAGGCACCACGTGTCAGGCTTTGACCATCCTCCTCACAGTAAAAAAGTGATTCCTTGTGTTTGGATGGCACCTCAGGTGTTTCAGTTTGTGCCCGTTGCCTCTTGTCCTGTCACTGGGCACTGCTGATAGAACTATCGATTCGATGGGGTCTGCATGTCTGCCCCAGTCACTGAAGCTGAACAGCACAGGCCCTTGGGCAGGTCTCTTACAAACACAGCAAACCCAAGATTTTGTGGTTTTAGGCTACAGAGCACTAGGAGTGGCTGCACCTGGCTGTGGTGGGTTGTTGACCCTCACTGGCAGGTTAAGTCTCCCCCCAGTTGCTTGGTCACTCCCCCAGCAGGATGGGGGAAATGAAGGGCAAAAGCAAGAAAACTTGTGGGTCTAGATAAAGACAGGCAAAGAAAGAAAGAAAAGGGGAAAAAAAAGGAGAGGAAAAAAATAATTTAAAAAGGCAAGTGATGCAAAGGCACTCACTGAGCACCTCCCACCAGCAGACGGACAACCAGCCAGTCCCCGAGCAATGGAGAGCTGGAAAAACTCCTGAGTTTGATTGCTGAGCACGACGACGTCACACGGCGTGGTCAGTTCAGGTCAGCTGTCTCGGCTGTGTCCCCTCCCTGCCTCCTCCCCGGGGGTGCTGAGTGAGAAACAGGCCGTGACACTGCGTCAGCACTGCTGAGCAACAGCTAAAACATCTGCGTGTTACCGAGTCCTGGTCACAGATCTAACACCCAGCGCTGCATGCTCTGCTACGAAGAAAATCACTCCATCCCAGGCAGAGCTGGCCCACAGGTCAGACAGAGGAGGGGTCCATCTTCCCCACCTCCCCATCGCCTACAATGCCAGCGGTGGGTATTTCCCTGGATGCCTGTGGCCTCCAGCTGCCTGGCTCAAGAAGCTCCTGAGCTGGAACGCTGCACCTTTGCATTTGGAAGCCAGTCAGATTGTTCTTCTGTAGAGTTTTCTAGTTGCTCTTTTGAACCCTACAACATCAGCAAGTTCTATCACACATTGTGTGAAGAACCAACCCATGTTTTGGACATCCCTCCAGTAACACCCCTGACTAGCAACACACCTCAGCAAGAGCTTCATGCAGAACCTGTTCCCAGTGCTCAGTGCCTCCTTCCTTTGCTGTTTTCAAAGTCCTTTGCTCAGTCCCTACTCATTCTGTGCTGGAAGATGGGTGCAGAGGGCTGTGCTAGCCAGGGCTCCGTCTCTTCCCGTGGCTTTCTGTGGTCAAGGCGAAGGTACCTATGAGCTCCACCACAGCTGAGCTCAAAGCCATTGGCAAACCTCCATTCCCTTCAGGTGGCACAGCAAAGGTCTGGTGTCTCAGGAAGCTCCTACCTGCCAGACCATCTGTGCAGCAGGACCAGGATGCCAAGGAGTTTGTACTCAACATGGAGCTTCTCCTTCTTCCTGTGCTAGGGCAAGTGGGGGCAACAAAACTGGCGAAGGGTTTAGAGGGGAAGGGTACGTGGAGAGACTGAAGGCACTTGGTTTGTTCAGCCTGGAGAAGAGGAGACTGAGAGGAGATCTCCTGGGGGTCTAGAACTTCCTCCCAAGGGGAAGAGGAGGGGCAGGCGCTGATCTCTTCTCTCTGGCCACCAACGAATGCCAGGAGCAGAGGACATGGCAGGAAGATGTGGCAGGGGAGGGTGAGGTTGGCCATGAGAAAAGGTTCTTGAGGCAGAGGGTGGTGGAGCACTGGAACAGGCTCCCCAGGGAGGTGCTGATGGCACCAAGCCTGACAAGATTCCAGCAGCATTTGGTCAAGGCCCTGAGGGACATGGTGTGAATGTTGGGATTGTCCTGTGCAGGGACAGGAGTTGGACTCCATCATCCTGGTGGGTCCTTCCAGCTCACAACATTCCATGATTCTGTGATAAGTTTCTGGCCTTTCAAATGAGCACGTTCAGACAGTGTAATCACCCGATTCGAAGGGGAGCAATCCCTGTTGGGAGATCTTCCCAGCAACTGGGCACAAACAAGATTTGCAGCCAGATGGTTTCCCAGGACCTGCTGCCAGACTGCTCACTGTCTGTGCTGAAGCTGGAGACACTTCCCAGGAGCCACATCCTAAACATTTCATACTTCCTCCCTGACAGAATTCATCCCGCACCCTCTCCAGTGAAGCAGGAGGAGGTTGGGCTCCCATATCCCACAGGTTTTGCCGAGTACCAGCACCATCTACTGGGCACACCAGCAATGTTGACAGTGTCCCCCCACCCACCCCACTGCCCAGAACCTCAGGGGGCACAGAGCATCTGCTCCTCCCTTTGTGTCCCAGGCAGGAACCCCAGAGACTGTTTGTGGTGTCCCGAGGTGCAGAGAGCCTGCAAACCCAACCAACAGACCAGAGCCACGAGAGCTTCAGCAAGGGCAGAGCACAGCCCTGAAAGATGTTTCTGCCAAGGACACTACAACCATCAAGCCCACAACAACCATCAAGCCCACTAGCATGCTGAGTTAACAGTCAGTTAAAGGTCTCTCGGAAGATGTCTGCAAGAGCCCAGGAAGCAGAGCAGGCACTCTGAGCTTGGAAAGGAGAACTGCTCTCAGAGGTGAGAGTACAGGTCACAACACACGCACTTGCTGCATTTAGAAGGCTGCTGGTAGATGTTCAGGTACAGCTCCTGCAGCAGGTCCCTCCTAGGGCTCGCAGCCCTGAGCAGAGCTCCACGCAGGCCTGACCAGTTCTATCCATCCCTCTGCAGGGCACAGCTGCCACTGCCTGCCAGGCATCTGTTTCAGGCCGCTTGGTTGGCTGCCAAGGCCACAGGGGTGTCTTGGGGACCAGCTGATGCAGGGGCAGCTGTTGACCCCTCTATCAGACTCAAGCAGGTTGACTGTCTGCAGTCCTCCTTGCTGACCAAGGCATTCCTTGAGATGCAGAGGTAACACAATGCCCTTCCCAAACCACAGCCATGAGGGTAAAGAGTCTCAGACCGACAAGAAGTCATCCTCTTCCCACTTGCCAGTGCTGTACTGGTCAGCACCATAATGACTCCTTTCCAAAGGCAACACCCAGCCTTCCTCCTGAAGCCCAGGAGCCTCACCTCCCACTCTGGGTGGCAGCCACACGTGTGCCAACACAGCCCATTCTCCTGCCCATTACCTCCTCCCTCAGTCAACTACTGCAGATAAAACTGCCATTTCTTATTCTGAAAGTCCCCTGTGCTAGAACTGCTTCTGCACCACAGCAATTCACCTGGGACATCCCTCCTCCCAGAGTACAACTCGCCTAACTGTTCCATCACAACTTTCAGCTGGCATGATGCATATCTAGCCATGTGAGGAGAGGCTGAAGGCACTTGGTTTGTTCAGCCTGGAGAAGAGGAGACTGAGAGGAGATCTCATGGGGGTCTAGAACTTCCTCCCAAGGGGAAGAGGAGGGGCAGGCGCTGATCTCTTCTCTCTGGCCACCAACGAATGCCAGGAGCAGAGGGAATGGCAGGAAGATGTGGCAGGGGAGGGTGAGGTTGGCCATGAGGAAAAGGTTCTTGAGGCAGAGGGTGGTGGAGCACTGGCACAGGCTCCCCAGGGAGGTGCTGATGGCACCAAGCCTGACAAGTTTCCAGCAGCATTTGGCCAAGGCCCTGAGGGACATGGTGTGAATGTTGGGATTGTCCTGTGCAGGGACAGGAGTTGGGCTCCAGCATCCTGGTGGGTCCTTTCCAGCTCACAACATCCTATTAGTTACACAGTGTTTCTGGTGGCTTTTCATCCGTGCTGTGCTGCAAGGGCTCTTTATCAAATTCCCCTCAATGACCATTACAGACAGATCTGGCACTCTGGCAGGTAGGTTCAGGGACTTTTAATCTGCTTGCAGATTCTGTCACGTGTGTAGAAACCTGCAAGCTTCGGATTTAACTCTGAGACAGCCTAGAGGCTAAACACAACATGAGCACAAACTGATCTGAGAGGGAATGCTTAAGCTGTAAAGACAATCCTCCCAAAACAATCCACCCACCAGGATGATGCGAGGGCTGGAGCAGCTCTGCTGTGAGGACAGGCTGAGAGAGTTGGGGCTGTTCAGCCTGGAGAAGAGAAGG